AGGTAGTACAGCTCTTTACTATGGGAAAATGGTATACAAATAAACTGGTGGTGTTGGCGATGATTACATCTTTCACTCTTCTACTTTTTAACAGAAAGCTAACTAGAAACAGACGCATGGGTGTACATGGCTGCATTCAGACAGCACTTTATTCCCTATTCTGATGTTTCTTTACCCAATAATTTCCATTTTGTGTGTGATATTTCACAGGATGTAAAAGCCACTTCTAGTGGAATCTAACAGAAGTTTGGCATTCATTTCCATGTTATTTGCTTCTAGGGGGGAAAAAATGCTTGCAGCTCCGTTAAGGCAGAACATTGCTGGAGTTTTGTTTTGAAATTTGGGGTGGTGTTTCGGCATACAATTCTTTCCCACCATTTAAAATTTAGCATTCTGTGGCAGTATATCAAGCAAAAAGCCACATTGCCATAACACGACAGGTAATGCAGTATAAAATCTTGGACAGAAGCATGAGTATTATTATCAAGAAAACTAATGCAATAACCCCCACATCAGAACGCACCCTACAGGAATCTTTTTTTGTTGGGTGGGGAGTAAAACACTGAAAGTGGAAGGCAATGATAAATAGGCTTGTTTATCGGGGAGGGGGTTATAAAAATAGTGCCTGTACATTTTGCCTTATGCCTTTGGTTCTACAAATGCTAAAAACTTGCTCTTTTTTAAAATAAATAAATAAGAAAGAAAGAAAGAAAGAAAGAAAGAAAGAAAGAAAGAAAGAAAGTGGCATCTAGGGATTATGGTTCATCTGCGGGGGAAGCAACTGCCCCCTTTATCGATGCCCATGGTGAAGTATATCCCATCAGATTTTATGCTTACCTTCCATGATACTTCTATAGCGGGGGTGGTGTGGGGGTGTCAGTGAGAAGGGAGTTTGTAAGAGGAGACAAAATAGTCATGAAACAAGCATTCGGCCACATGTAGTTTAATGGTTTGATTTACTGAGACTTCACTCTGGAATCTGTGTGTGTGGTTTCCTCCCCCCCTCCCCCTCACTGACTGAGTTTGCCATATCAGTTTGCAAGCCTGGCAAACACTGAGGACATTTCTCCTCTAATATAAAAGTAAATTTGCTCAGTAGGCAATTTGCATCTTGCCTCTGTCTAGTCATGAGATCATTATAATAAAAAAACAGAGTCCCTAGAAATCTAGGTCACTCAGAGGCAGGGTTTTTCTTTCTTCCCCTAGCAAAAAAGAAGAAGAAAAGAATGGCACAGCATCTTTTATTGGAGGCTGCAGCTGTGGAAACGTGGAGCTAGCTAGCTATTCTTTCACACTCTCCATAGCCCGATGCCGCTGCGAAAGCCCCATCCACTCTGCCTCAAAGTGATCTTATGATCACAGCATTACGCAGATTAATTGCCTTGGATGTGAACACACTTAGCCGTAAACTTGATGAGGGAATCGGGGTCTTTTCTGAAAAAGAAATTGTGTACCGATGTCAATCGCAAGCCAGCTAAAGTGGCCTGTTTGATGCTCCATTTAAACCAAAGGAAGCAGTTAGCTAATCTGCACAAACTCCGATACCATCGATTGTAATGCATGGTTTTGATTCAACTATGTTAAAAACAAAAAACAACCCCACTAAGTTTTACTCAGATTAGACCAACTGAAATGAACAGATCATGGGCCATTAATTGAAATGGGTCTTCTCTGAGTAAAATTTAAATACTATATTTTCTGTTTTTATCATGGCAAAGGACAAAACTAAATTATGGCAAAACATACCACTTTTATTTTAAAGAAACGCAGCTGTGGGGTCCTGATCCAGAATGTGCTCCAGATTCAGATTAGGGCCCTGATTCAATTTCATGCTGACCACACACACCTGAAGCTGTAATTTCCCATTGAAGGTGCTATATGTAATAAATGTCAGGGCCAAATAGCAGCTGGAAGGAAACTTGGGCCCTGATCTGAATTGAGAGCACATTCCAGAGTGTGGCTCTGAAGCTGCTTTTTGTTCCAGAGTAAAAATGCCCAGTTCACTCTTGGTTTTTCAAAAGCTTATTTAGCATAACCATCACATTCAGCATAAGATGTAGTTTGGCCCAAGCACATGCTGCAATCCTGTATCTATTTACCAGGGAATAAGTACTCATACATCTTTATGAGTAGAGATGTAGGAGAAATTCAACTCAGTTCACATTTAAAGGTGAACCTACCTAATTCATACTTTCAAAAGTAGCACACAACCCCCAAACTAGCAGTTGTTTTTTTAAAACAACAACAAAATCACACTTCTCCAAATTTTGCAGTACTGTCTTCCAGCCAAGGAAAGTTTACAAGCATGGATATACTGAAGTGTGCATCATAATGCATATAATAGTAAATATATATATAGAAAAATGCATTATATTAGGAGAAACTGCTTTGCAAAAATGTGTATATTAGGCTGACTTGCGAACAAATATATATATTAGGATATAGCTACACTAAAATGCTGATGAATTTTAATTAAAATATATATCTCAAAGTGATGTGGAAATGTGGAGAACTGAATTTAAAATGACCAAAATTGTGAGTAAACATATGTAGGCTTGCACTGATAAACTGTATTGGCTCTGGAATATATCAATATAAATGCAGTATGTGTGTTACTCTTTTGATATGAAGTGTGGGGAATGTGTGTGTTTTAAATCTTATGCTTTATTAACATCATTACAAAGCTGCCTGGTCTTGTATCACAAGATTCTGCTTCAAAGAATTTGAGGAAGGATAATGTTCAAGCTCCATCTCATGTGCATGAGAAACAGCCTTTAGAAAGAGAGAGAAGGCAAGGAGTTTTTCGGTTGGGGAGGATCTGTGCTTAAAATGGTGTGTTTTCAAAAGGGGGACAATGGATTCCCTCTTCTATGTGTGTGTTGCATGGCATTCAGGACTGTGCTGGAGCAGTGTGAAGCTCATCAAACAACTTTTTAAACTCGAGTAAGCAGGAACAAGCAAAACAGAAAGAGGCGACAACATGAGAATTAGAACTCTGTGAGGGGATCTCTAAACAATTTCTCATTCATAAGAGTCTTTGAATCTATTACAACATTTATTTCTAAAGCCTTTGGAAGCGTCAATCTCTCTGCTGCTGCTGCTGCTTTCTGCATGTAGCGTTCAGCCGGCAGGTCATCGAAAGAAATATACACATCTCCCTGAATATAATAACCCTGTAACATTTCTCCTTTGGGAGAGCATCTGTAGTACTGAGGACTGGCTTTCCAGGCAGGTGATCCAAGCAGTCACCTAGAGTGCTGGGCTTGTGGGGTGTTTTGACTCAACTCTTCAGTCAACAGCTGAAACAAATAGTACAAATAGTTCATCACCACTGAGAAAACAGGCGACACTAACCTGTGAGGCCAGCACGGTGTTAGCATTTGAGGTTGTTGTTGTTTACTTGCAACAGCACATTTCAACAATTAGTGTTCACTGTTTTGAATATTGTATTTTAAAATGGTTGTAATAGGGCCTCACTGTGAAGGGAGGGTAAGAAATATAAAGAATAGGAACAACCACAGTGGCCTTCAACAAATGGGGTGTGTGTGAATTATTGGGCACGGCTGTCATCAGATCCTTGTGTGTAAACATACTGTCTTGTACCACAGGGATAAAGAGAGTGTGTGTGTGTGTATTCTAGAGTGCCTCTTCAGGCACCCCAAAGCACTTTTTACAACACATTTCAAACCAGCAACGTCAGGCCGTATATACACTATACCTTAAAAGCACATTTGAAGTACATTATTTTCCGCAAAGAATTATGAGCACTGTAGTTTACCCCTCACAGAGCTAGAGTTTGCAGCAATATTTAACAAACTACAGTGCACAGAATTCTTTGAGGGGAAGAATGCATTTCAAAGTTGCTCTAAAAGTATAGCGCATACACAGCCTAAAAATTGTGAAATGGGATGGAAATACAATTAAAAACACACACAAGGTATTCAATAGTTAAATAGTGGAATGGATGCCAAAAACGTTCTACGCCCAGCGTAGGGTGAACATTTTTCACCCCGAGAGCCACATTCCCTCCAGTAAAACTTTATGAGGGCCACATGCCACGGGTGAGCAGACCTAGAAGCAAAAGTAGAAGGAGCAAAAGATAGGAGCATGGTTTCTCTCTGCAATGCAGTCGAGGAGGTGAAGCCACCAACCTTTCCTGGGAGCAAAGCTAATTAGATGAGAAAACGTGAAGAAGGCCACCTTAAGCTGCTTAAGCTAATGATGGGTGAGTTTCATTGGAAGAAAAAGGGAACATGCTGTACTAAACCTTTGAAACCCGGAGATAAATGCATGTCCCATTATGTCATGCTTGGAAATAGAAAAGACCCCGCTCTCTGATGCGCCTGCCTTTCTCTTGCTGTTTTTCTTTTGCGTATTGGATGTCACTTGAAACACAACAAATTGCCTGGTTTGTATCCTGTTACAGCTATCCTGGGAAATCACAAAGTCAAAACAGAAGCCACTAAAATCATGAGGCAAAGGAAACGTCGATGGCACTGCAGGGGAAAAAAGAAACCCTGTCAGACTTAATTTTTCAGGGCCTCGGCCACTGTTGGGAAGGGCTCATTTCACGACAGTTTTGGCACTGCACACGAGGGGAGGAGGATGAGAGGAACAAGGCTTTTTGCGGTACAATGCAAAGACATTCAAATGGGTCTTGCATATAACACAGAGTACAAAGAGACACCCAAAGGTTTTTCATATATAACCCTGACTACAAAGGGTGGAGGATTACAATTCACACAGGGTCAAAGTAGAGGTGAATTTCAATGCAACTTTGCATGTGTTGTATTAAAAAATAAAAAAATAAACCTAGCTTTTCTCCCAGTGTAGACAGCAGCTTCAGAGCAGCTGTTTTCCTCAAGACTGCATCAGAGTTAGAAAAGAGTTAGGGGCATAGGAAGTCCTTATATACTGAGTCAGATCCATTGGTTCATCTTGTTTAGTATTCCCTACGCTGACTGGCAGCAGCTTTCCAATGTTTCAGGCAGAAGTCTACATGGAGACATCAGGGATTGAACCTAGGGCCTTCTGAATGCAATGCAGATGCTCTATCACTTAGCTACGGCCTGTCCTCAAAATGAGGCAAGACAGCAAAAAGCAGGATAGCGAGAGAGTCTAATATATGCTTCTGCCATGGAAGGAGGGTCTTTTATCAGTTCTTGAAAATATTAGTGCTTGCAACGTTTTTCAGCCCAATGGCCACATTCCCTCACGAGCAACTTCCTATTAAATTTCAGACAGGTATCAATATTGTCTTCTCAGCACCTATTGAAGACCTGCCTCTTCTGTCAAGCCTTTTAAGTAGATCTCATTTCCAGTCTGCTTCTATACTGACATTGTGTTCAGTTGTTTCAGATGCTTTCGTGCTTGTGCGTTTGCCACCCTGGGCTCCATTGGGAGAGCAGGCTATAAATTTAATAAAACAGCAACAGCAACAACCTTTTAAGGGAGCCACATGCCAATGGGGGCAGAGGCTGATATGTGTGGAGCAACAGATATGATGCTTACCTACGTACAGTTGGCTACATTCCAGCCAACCCAAAGTCTGGGGAGCCTAAACATACGCATCTTTCCATTAGCCATCTAGGCAAGCAGGAGGCATGACCACAGTTGAAGGGCACACTCTAGACAGGACAAAGCACTCAAGAGTAGATGGAGCAAGGCCAGTGAGGGGCATGGTCTGAGTAGAAGCTGCATGTCCTGCAGTGGAACCAGGGGAGAGTTGTGAAAGCCAGACACAGGGGCTGGAGGGCAGCATCTGCTCCTGGGCCTGAAGTTCTTCAACCTTGTTGTAGTCTTCTGAAATAAGCCAAGAACTATTCCTGGGAATAAGCTGTCTTTTGCTCCTGGACCCAGTTTCTGCTAATGGCAAATCAGGAAAAAGAGGACTTGAATGGTCAAATAGGAAGTCTGAAATGCATAGGTCATATTAGGCCCCAAAAGAGGAATACAAACATGTATTCAGAAAGTCCTTGGTACAGGATGCTATATATGTTTTGACTGAGCAAAGAGAAAGAGAAAAATGAGTGTGCTATATAAATGTGAAGGCTTAAAGGAATGTTATCAATTCAGTTTAAGCCAACACAAGGTATAATTTTCCTGTAACAATATAAACCGATAATCTTAAAACAACTTATTTTTTTTAAACAGGCATATTGCAAGCCATAAGAAGCCTGGTGTTAATTTCAAAAGATTTTCATCATTCAAGCCTCTAACTGGAGTTCAAATCAGAGTTTGGCTTGGGTACAATCAGTATTAAGAGGATAATATCTGACCCAAACAGACAGCTTTTTAACAGATGCTTAATTAGAGCAAGCCCTGAACCCACAGATCAGCTGTAGATAGCCTGTTATTTCAGATGCAACTACTTAGTTGTAAATGAATACTGTTCTGGCCCACTGTCTTCTGCTCAGCACACTGACAATGGGCAACAACTTGACAACAACAGAAACTTTGCCAGAAAAGATTGGTTCAACTTCTTTGTGCAAATGCAGAAGCAGAAATTTCCAAATTTTGCTCCCTGTGAATAGCTAGGGAGTCTTGCTAAGCATTGCTGCACTCATAACTCCCATTCATTTTGAAAATTTGACTTAGCATAGTTTATTATGTAGTTTATTACCATAAGCTAAAGTCATTGTAGTATAATAGAAACCACAATACTCACTTAAATCATTCACAGTTGAAGGAATGAGATGGAGAGAGAGGTGTGCCTGGGAGGGGTCTTGAGGACCATGTAGAGAGTTCTGGAAGGCCACATGGGGCCCACAGAATGGAGTCTATTCACTCCAGCTCTAGATGAACCTGTCCAGCTGGTTTGCATCTGTCTGTAGAATCACAAAGTTGAAAGGACCCAAGAGCCATCTAGTCCAATCCACTGTAATACATGGTCTCCCATCCAATTTGAATATACTTGTGTGAACCTGCCTGAACACAAAGGTTAACTCTGGAGCCCCTGCTGTATATCCTTCCACCACCAAAAAGTCATGGCCTTTTTTGTTTCTTCAAGGTCCAGCACATCTCTGGGGCTGGCATGCCTGTTACATATCCAGAGTGACAATGATGGCCAGTTGCATTAGCCCATGGCATGGTGGGTGTGAGCTTGAGTTAAATCCACCACTGTTTCCCCAACATAACAGCTGGGTGACTGTATTAGCCCAAAGTCTGGATCCTTGCCCTTTGCTCCACCATTCTCTGTGTAAGCTGTAACCAAGAAACCTGTGGCCATTTTTAACCCGTTCCCAGTTACAGGATCATTCATGTTCTCTCACTCTATCCATGCTCCAAGCTGCAGACCCAACTAAGAATATATTTTCCCTGGTAGGGGAAAACAGCAACAACCTGGCAAGATGAAGAGTGGCAGATCAAGTAGTAGTTGAGACGTAACTCCTTGTTCCCATCACTGCACACAAGACAGTTTAAATAAATATTTTAATTCTATTATTGGCATTTACACGTAGAAAGCATACGGTATGTTACAATTTTTATCAAAATGTGAAAAATATGGGTGTTACATAAGTAACAAATGTAAAAAAAAGGGGGGAGAAAAGAAGAAAAGCATTTTTCTTACTTTCCCTGAAAGTAAGAAAAGTATTCAGTATAGGAAAATATTGATACCAAAAACATAGTTTAGCTAAAACAAAAACGGGTGAGAAAGGGAGAGAAACAGCAACACCTCCCCCCCCCCCACAGAAAACATTTATTTTTTAAATTTTAAACAGTACTATAGGAGCTGCATGGAAACACAGGGTTTGTTTACACAAAGCAAATTCAAAATGAGGGGGATTTAGAACAGTCACCTACCATGACTTGGAGTTTTTAGGCATTTCTCAGGGTCCCTTCTTATGATACAGTTTGTACTTGGGTATGGGTAGTTGAGCACAGAACACACACGCATTGTATCAGCAATGCATAGAGCCTGTATGTATGTTTCCTAGTTTCCCCTTTAAAGTATATGCGCTTGCAGCAGCAGAACCCGCTCTCTGCATGCATTTTCAAAAAGAAAAGCAGACTGGTGCCATGTATAACTGATACAATGTGTGCATCTTTCATAAGGACCTGTTAAATGCATGTTCCTCTGATCCAAGGGTACAATGATTTCCCCCCAATAAATATTTTTATGTCAAACACTTCAGTCATAGTAAACGTTGTGATGCAGGAAAAGGTCACTCCAGGATCTGGTAGGGAAGGCAGTGCTTACAATAATAGTTAGTGCTTTATGGCTTTTAAACAACGTTTTATAGGCAAGTAGTCCTCACAATGGCCCCCTGTGAGGTAGGTTTGTAATTTTTGAAAGAGCCCCCTCCCATTTTCATAGATGGCAAAACTGAAACGCTGATATTGAATAGTTCCCAAGACCATACAGAGCTGAGATTCATTTGAAACCAGTGGAGTTCCGTCTACTAACCTCACCTTGCACTGTACCCACTCTGTTCTACAGATTCTATTATTTGTTCAATTTGATAATGTCAACTTGGTTTCCATACTAGCTAGAAATACTGTTGCTTGGAGGAAATAAGGACAGAAGATTCAGAAGTTCTCACACAACTTTGTCAAATATAATAATAAAAAAACCCTAAAGTGCTGATGAGCTCGAGCTGGTTCTAGCACCCTTTGTATTGAGAAAGATAATATAGCCATCGCTCAAGCTTATCGTTCCTTAAAGTATCCAGATCTGAGCAACTGCGGTATACAGGAAATAGGTTTTCTGAGAGAACCTGATAGCATTGTTCCTGCACCCAACCTTTGCAGAATTGCTTCAAATATCTCCCAACAAAAACAACATACTTGATATTCTTGCATTTCAGAACAACTTATTAAAATTGGATACAAACACGCTTTCCACAATAAACAGTCTTGGGTCCATATTTAGAACCAATCACTATTAATTTAAAAAATCACAAACCAAACATGGAATACAGAAAATTCTTTCCAAATGCTGCATGCCAAATACCTTGTTTGGAAATATAATGCATGCAGAGAAAACAAATTCAACTGATCTCAATTAAATTAAACAAAAAAGATGTATTTGTCCTTTTCAGCAGCATAATAATGATTATTTTTTTAAAAAAATGTGTCCTAACTACTGGCCCTGGGTAAAAAAAAAAGTTGTTTTTATAAAAAAATCTGCCCTTCTCTTATCTACAACGATAGAATGGCTTGAAAGTTTCGTGCTTTTGCATTTTGACAATGTCAGTATGGAGTTCTATACATACTGTTCGGCTTCCCCATCTTTGGGTTGTGTTGTACCATTTTTGTTCTCTTCACTTACATTTGTGGTTGCCTTTTCTGGAAGAGATGCCAGATCTTTAAAAACATCCACATAATGCCCAAATCCTGGGCCCCAGTTCAAAAGGTTGTCCCAATTGAAATTCCCTCCTTGCTGCCCAAGTCTTAAAGGCGACGTACTCTCATGAACACTGGGTGCAGTTGCTTGTGCACCCACAGGCCCACCACCCTCTCCTCTTCGGCCTGGGTATCTCCTGGGCTTCAACCTAGCCCCATAATTGTCTTCATCATCTGCATCTGACTCATTAACTTGAGATAATTTGGGCATTCTGGAGGTGTACACCATGGGCTTTTCCCTGTCGTACTCCATCTCAGAACATGTAAAAGAGTCGTGGGAATCACTGTCAGATGATGATTCTGGTGCTGGAATGCCATCAGCTGGATTCCTTGTTCTGGACAGTGGCCTTCTGCAGTCCTCCTCAGAAGAAGACCTTCCATGGTCAGCGCTGCAGATGCTTGGATTTCTAGGACGTGGGGTGTTAAGCCTCTCCACCTCTTCAATGGAAAGGCCCACCGGAGGACCACTCTCCAGCGGAATCTGTCCTATGGGTTGCTTTAAGCGGCTTCCGGGCCTGGAGCTATGTGTTACCATCATCTGAGGGCTCTTGCTTCTTCTCCCTAGTCGAGTGGGGTAGTTAAAAATGCCTGTCTGGCAGACATCGTTGTGCATTTCCAAAGAGCTCCCTTCTCTTATGGAAAGATGCATGTCCCTTGCAGGGCTGTTTCTGTAGAAAGTCGACGATTTGGAAAACGGAGCAGGGCTGTGACGAGAAAGGTGGTT